CAAAGGAGATAGAAGCGTTGGTGAATTTTGGAAAAATCATGCGTTTTCAAATTCTACTCGCCATAACTTCCTTCGGAATGAGTATATTTTGAATCCGAGAGCAGAGCCTTGCTCAGCTCATCAAGGCGAATCTTCCTATATACAGCATGTCCTTGATATTTCGATTTCAGTATTCTTGAATCTTTCTGAGGACGTTTTTTCGCGAAGGTGTAAAGCAGCAAGCATTGTCCGAGTAAATTCCAGCAAGGATCTTTCGATAGCACTTCTTCTGTAGATTATGATGTGCTAAATAGTAGCCGCAGGTTTCTTTTCAAAGAAAACAGAACGGCTGGTGAATTGTGGAAATATTTTGTCGTCCCAAATTCTACTCGCCATAGCCGCAGAATACGAAGCTATCTTGCTAAGCAGATGTGAGTTTCGAAATCAGCAGGTCGGATAACCTCTGTGAGCAAGTTTTCCGATATGTTCGGGTTATTCCATTTTTTCTCGTTTTACGCTCCAGAAGCTCGCCGATGGATTTTGGTCAAAATGTTGATGCTCCTGAATTGTAAGGAAGCTTCGCTTATAGAGGTTTTCGAACACGCTCTTTACGAAAATCGTGGTCTTTGAGGATAACAGGGTCTTTTTGGAGAGATACCATGAGGTGACTGTAACTTCATCACGAAAGTACGTGACTTTGGCCGCACTTCTCGCGTATCTGTCAAAAACTTTGCCTGCTTGCTTTTCTCAGTCAAAGTTATTAGGAACTGTGCTATCGAATGGTGCATTACTCAGGCTCCAGTCTATGAAATTCGCCGAGTTACGAGCCTACGAAAACACGTCCTCATGAATTTTGCCCAAAATGTAAAGATCGCATATCTCGTCGAAATTCCTCCGTGAGCGCTTGTATGACGCTCGTTGCAGATATTATGTTCGCTTCGTCAGACGACTCCCACTGCACTGACTATGGTGCTTGCGTCTGCTTCAGCTGCTCAATTGAATATCAAAGCTATTTCGTGGTTAGAGCTCAAAGCACCAAATCTAACACAATAAGATCCATTGAAAATGTGAAAGGATTTGATAAGCGCGTTGTATTAGGTCACTCGGAAAGTTTTTTCCTTTTTGCGCCTTTGATGTTGATACCGTATCTTAAGAGGGTGCCAGGGGGCTGATAAGGGTTGCCATATATGGATCTGTAGAGGAAGTCTTCTAGTTTCTGGGATCCCACCGAAATTGCAGAAGACGCTTTATGGGGAAGTTTACGAGGCTCTAAATTCGATACGAAAACGCGATTTTCGAATAATTGTATTCTCTAGGCTTAAATTTGAGCGTAAGACCGTTGAGGAAACCATCATTGTGCGCAATGCATTTGCCAAGACCACGTCTTTCTTAAGGTAGGCTCAAGTTTACTTCAGAAAGTTCAGATCTAGAGAAGTGAAAGCTAATATTTTGCAGTGTTTTGGAAGGTGTTTCTGCCATACAAACGAGCATCTCAGAGGGTCCTTTGGAACAAATCGCAATTATAGCTGCGTAGAATTATCAGCAGGCCCTGAAGTGTCATATAACCCTATTAGGAGCCACCTTCGCTAAAGCTGCAATACCGAAAAATTTCACCGACATGTACTCTACAAATTGTCGCACTTTCAGATTGAGGGCGCGTTGACTCTGCTTTCGTCGCTCATAATTTTATGTAGCCATCCTTTGCCGGCCTGGGTTATTAATTACAGCAAAAAATTGGCCAAGTGCGGCTATAAGAAGCGACAATGTGGTAAATAATTTGGAGTAAGCATTGAAAGCATGACCAGAACAATCTGTCATTCCAAAAGGTTGATGCACTCAAATTAATGTAATCCTGCTGGTCTTGTACGCTATAAACTTGCTAAAATGCGATTGTACTGTAAGAGTAGAGTAGTGTGATGTCGCTCTGAAGACTGTTTGTCAAAATTTCAAAACTGAGCAGACTTGCACGTATAAGCTATGAGAGATGCCATCCACGCCCATGACTCCGCCAAACCACATGTAAGAAAAGTGGCTCTCACAAAAGGGGTTGAATGCGCACCGAGGTTCCTGTTTGTTTTTCAAACTCTTTAGTCCTTCCTTTACCAGTTACCGAATTTTCCAATTCCTCGGTGCCTATTAAAAAATAATAGGACCTAATAGAGATTGACTCATCAAAAACGCCTTTTCAGGCTTTAGTGATTTCTCTGAGATCATTTCGCAAGAGAAAAGCACAAGAGCACTATAAGAGTGTAACCAGAAATTTGCTGAACACAATGCAGTTTACAGTCTGCCCCAATCCTAACCAGGCCAAAATTGGCTTGGCGGGAGTGCGCGTCGCGAGGGTTTCGCGCCACTTCTGCGTCTAGCTAGTCTGCTCTCTCCTCAATCTCTTCGCTCTCTGCGACAGCGCGCGTATGCAGCGCAAACCCCTAGCGCTGCGAGCGCACAAATTCAGCCGACGGTTCGGCCTGATCCCGATTGGGACAGGCTGTATTTGATGGAAAAAGGTTGAATCAGAAAAAAATTGTGCTCGTTTGAATTTGGAGGTGCAAAAACGAAAAAACTTTCCGAATGACATACAAGCGCTCACGGAGGGATTTGTACGAGATATGCGATCTTTACATTTTGGGCAAAATTCATGAGGACGTGTTTTCGTAGGCTCGTAACTCGGCGAATTTCATAGACTGGAGCCTGAGTAATGCACCATTCGATAGCACAGTTCCTAATAACTTTGACTGAGAAAAGCAAGCAGGCAAGGTTTTTGACAGATACGCGAGAAGTGCGGCCAAAGTCACGTACTTTCGTGATGAAGTTACAGTCACCTCATCGTATCTCTCCAAAAAGACCCTGTTATCCTCAAAGACCACGATTTTCGTAAAGAGCGTGTTCGAAAACCTCTATAAGCGAAGCTTCCTTACAATTCAGGAGCATCAACATTTTGACCAAAATCCATCGGCGAGCTTCTGGAGCGTAAAACGAGAAAAAATGGAATAACCCGAACATATCGGAAAACTTGCTCACAGAGGTTATCCGACCTGCTGATTTCGAAACTCACATCTGCTTAGCAAGATAGCTTCGTATTCTGCGGCTATGGCGAGTAGAATTTGGGACGACAAAATATTTCCACAATTCACCAGCCGTTCTGTTTTCTTTGAAAAGAAACCTGCGGCTACTATTTAGCACATCATAATCTACAGAAGAAGTGCTATCGAAAGATCCTTGCTGGAATTTACTCGGACAATGCTTGCTGCTTTACACCTTCGCGAAAAAACGTCCTCAGAAAGATTCAAGAATACTGAAATCGAAATATCAAGGACATGCTGTATATAGGAAGATTCGCCTTGATGAGCTGAGCAAGGCTCTGCTCTCGGGTTCAAAATATACTCATTCCGAAGGAAGTTATGGCGAGTAGAATTTGAAAACGCATGATTTTTCCAAAATTCACCAACGCTTCTATCTCCTTTGAAAAGAAGTCTGAGACTATTTTCTAGCGCACAATATTCTACAAGAACAGTATAATCGAATAATACTCTGTAAAGTTTTCTATGTTGGGTAGGCTTTGCTTCACATATTCGCGAAAAGACCTCCGCAGAACAAATTGAAAAAACTGGAAACGGAATATCGAAGAAATCGTACCCCCACTTCCAATAAATCAGAAGATTCTCCGCGCCGAGCTGAATCGAATGGTGGCTTTGGATTCAGAATTCGTCCACTCTGAAGCGAGATATGGCCACGCGACGCTGATGTATGGACATGTCCATACATGTATGGACATGTACGGACATGTACGGACATGTCCATACATGTATGGACATGTCCGTACATGTCCATACATGTCCATACATTCGCGTCTATTTTTCAAAAAATGTGAGCGGTATTGTAGTCTTAGAGTGTTCCAAAATACTTTCGTATTTGGTCGTTACTATCTTTCTTGCCCTGAGTTTTTTTGTCAACCTTCGGATGAATTAGCGCTGGCTTTAGCTTGGATTTACAGCGCAATGCAGACTAATGTCTCTTCGTGCTTTAAGATTATAAGAACTTTGAAAGTTTTGCACTGTTGGGAATCAAATTTAGCCCTAAAACGAATTCAGAAGAGCTGAAAATTTGATTGAATAAGGCTTCATAGCGGCATCGCCCACTCTAAGTAAGAGGACTTGAGCTTTTGGCAGCATACGATAGTAGGAACCGCCATCAAGCCAATACCCAACTCGTGGCTAAAAATATCGCTTTGGAAGCGAGAATATCGCTCCACAATAACGAAGAAGCACGAAGACCCCTAGGCGACACCGCCCTTTCCAGTAATGCCCGCCCATTAGCGCGCCCATGCAATCACCGTTCCAGAGAACCGACCAGGGGTTCTCTAGATGGAGATTGTCGCGGTTTTGGCGGATTCTTAAATTTATTCGGAATCACGAACATAAGAGGGTCCCGGAACGACAAAAACAAGGAGGTGCAATACCGCTCGCATTTTTTGAAAAATAGACGCGAATGTATGGACTGTATGGACATGTACGGAAATGTCCATACATTCGCGTCTATTTTACAAAAAATGCGAGCGGTATTGTAGAACCTGGGTGAATAGCTCCTGCAAAAGATAGAATTTAGTAAGTAGAATTAGTAATAAAATAGTAAAAATATATTAAGCCAATTTATTAAAAGAGTGCAGGTCAAAAGATCTTCCGAAATTACTGAATCTGCAAAGATACGTAATTTACATACGGTGCTAGGAAATCTTATGGTAATTCTACAGTGTGAATCCGTGATTCATTCTACATTGTGAGTCTTAAAATTCTACAAAATGAGCAAGTTTTTAAAATAAATATGACATCAACGACCAAATAGTGGAGACATTTTTTGAAGCTGCAGTTGTACTGTGACATCGAGAGCAATATCCTTCTGAGCATAAGCATTTATTCAAATATGGGATGACTAATATGGAATGACTAGAGTCATAAATTGCCTGAGGTAATGTGATAACAACAGTTGAGAAAACAAAAGATGGAGCAATAAATTATTCCTGTCTAGCTTGATTCGCACAATTGCAAACATTTCCAGAAAATCAAATGGTTCACTGCGTCGTTGGCAGGATCCTGGGTACCTGTTCTATCGTCGAGACCTTCTCCACAGCTTACCACGAGTAACTGCAAAAATAATTTGGTATCACTAAGTCACAATATTGCGAAATAGATCGTACCTGATTAGCTTGCTGTGAAGGCATGTTCAATGACATACGTCTGATCTTTCTCGTCAGTGCTACATTAATTGGGATGAGAACTCGACAAGGGCCAGCATGTCCCATCTCACGTACTGAAAAATACTTCTTGAACAAGTGACATGTGGATTAATTGCGATTTTGAAGCTACCCTAATTTCAAGAGTACAGGACGCACTTTTTTTTATAAATTCGACCAGCCTGGACACACCAAAACATTTCGCGAGCAAAGGATCCTATAGCGTACTGTTACTCCTATACCGTACTGCCTGAGAGTATCGTGCGGCATAAGTTTCCTTTTCCGAAACACAACGAGGCGACTGAATGGCTCGCTTGACAATTCGAAGAGAGTGCGTCTCTTGCTCGTGAAATTAGGGTGAGATGCTCTATAGGGAAATATGTGATCTGAAGTTTCAACAAATTGGGCGCATTGATATTTTGGTTTAATAAAAGCTCTCTTCAAAGCATAGCCCGAGCGCGAGAGCATTGAAGGACAGTAAAAGCGCGAATTTACCACTTCTCAATTCCACCTTTCTTCTTGGAATACCTTTTCACACCCTATCATAGGTAATTTGTGCTTATAAATGCAACTCGCTTATTATCAGGCCGCTCCTAAAGTCTTTTCCGTATTTCCAAGCACCTTAAGTAGAGGTCAATTTTTGCAAAACAGCAACTACGAAACGACCAAAGCCGTTCGATAGTGCTTTCTCTAGCTTTCTTAACCGCTAAGTTTGAAATAAGAATTTATGTCTGTTATCCAGATAATCGCAAAATTTGCAATGTCCCATCTTCATCTTCAGCTGAATTTTTTCACATTTTATCACGAAATCAGCAAATATTCTTGGATAGTGCACATTACGTCTCATGTAATTTGCAATGATCATTTATTCGTAGAGATTCTCAGTTTTTGATGTTCTTGTGGACGTTAATCAAATTATGAATTTGTTGATTTCAGACTATCGTTCCCTCCTAACTGCATATTGTGCACGATATCAAGTAGGACTTGAAAGCTACATTATGGAAGGCTAACTCTGAATGTTTCCGGTGAAGAATTGCTGGGGTGTTTTGGCATGTCTAATTCTATTCTACAGACCTCTGAAGTACGATATTTTCAACCTTCTACAGCTCTAGTTTAAGACTTTCATAAATCCAAAAAGCGCACAGCTCTTACTTGTTATACAGTTAAATCTTCCTGCCTTTTTCGTATCCAGGAAAAGTCATGTGAAGATATTGGAAAACGAAGGAATTTTAAAGTAAATTAACCATAAAATTTCAGTGCTCGAAATGGCGCAGCGCTTTTTGAGGTGAGATTTTCTCAAGCTAAGACTTGAAAAGTATCTACGCTTACCCGACAGAGGAGGGCTTGGTTGAGTCTTGGCACATTGTAGAGGTGTTGACATGACGATGCCAGCTGATGTACCGATCCAAAGTTGGGAAGCTGCTACGGTAATGCACGTTATCCGTAGGCAACCCATTTTGTGCTCACGAATGATATCTTCACGACCTGAAACACTATTGCTAGTTATCGATCCAAGAGCACATTAAGATTTGCTAGATAAGAAAAGTATCTATGACGTCTGAAAAATTGTAAAATAATCTCAGGGTGGCTCCTTGTCTTGACTTGTAAACCTCTTTGAAGCCGGTTAACGCACAGTGGCGCGCTAAATGGCAAGCATTTGGCACCTGATGTCATGTAAGCAAAACAGTACTGTTTTTGCTAGTGAGAAAAGCAGATAAAATTGCCATTTGATACGAATTTAACCGGAAACACCGCACTCGTTTTCGTTTGCGCGACATCAAATGTCGAATGTCCGTCATTTAGCGCATCACTTTCGCACGACTGATTCTTAACCGATTTATAGGTCAACTTTAGCTCCTGCCCTAGGCAGTCACATTTTTTGATAGCTATATTTTTTGCATCATTGCAAATACCCACTTACCCGCCAATTGAGTTCTGACGCAAGCAGAAATCCCGAAATGATTGACAACTTTAAGTGAAAACGCATCCACAACGTAAACAGTGGTGGATTTCCTGGCACAGCAGAAGAGATAGGGTCCGGATGACGTCATCCGGGATATGACATCGGACGGGGCCAGTACGTCGACAGGCAACTGAATCAACTTAACCCCTCACAAAAAGTTGAGCGCAGTTCTCTAAAAGTAGAGACGGCACACCTCCCATGCGGCGTCTTCCGTGTCCAAAGCATGGACCTGATGGCCGCTGGCCAGCATCAAACGTCTACCAACTGGGCACATTGCCAAAATTGGTTTTGTTAGAGGGTGGCTCAAAATGGTAGGCGAGTCGAGTTCCCAGAGACTGTCTGAAGTCGGTAAATGTGACATAGAAAAACAATCTGTAAAATGCAAAAGGATTTTAGAACATCATAAAATACACAGCAATAGAATAATGGTGGGCTGTGGGTACTTATTAGAAAATAGAGGTATCACCAAATTGATTATATCAAATTAATTATACAGCAATCAACAAAATGATGAAAATACAAACTTAAAAAAGATTTGCTTTTCGCACATGCTTGAATCAAAACTCTTTGTTGGTATATGGCAACGATTCAACTTGGTCAATAGAGTTATCCAAAAAGAATCCAAATTTATTTTTGCTTTGGGCTTAGGAGCTACTCTTCATAGCTGAAAAAGTTGGTATTGGTCGGATTTTTTATGAATGGTCATGATTTTCGCTTTTTCAGACTCGACTCATTGATACTGTTCCAATTTGATCGTTCATTGCTATAAAGTACTACTTTTGATGTACATGACAAAGAGCATGTTATGTTAATTGATTAGATTGTTTGAGCAGTTTTGAAACGAATTTCCTATTTATTGGTGTACGAGTTGTGCAGCAACCTATATAATAAGAAAAAATAAGGTACAGTCTAGTGACGACCAGTATATTCCCCTCCCCCTTGCGGTGCTGACAACACTTGCTCGTAAAAAAATGGCCAATGCGTATTTCTGAGGTTTGCTCCTCACCACGTTTTTGACGCCTGGCATTAGCTGCTTTCGGCAATTCAACTACGCAGGTTGAATTTATCAGAAAATGTTCACAGAAAAAATGTGGAGGCCACTATAAAAAAATAGGAAAATTACAATTAGCACTCACTTTTTTCCATGCAAATCATAGAAGATTTGAGTTAAAGCAAAAAAGAAACCATTCTATTGGTAATTACTTACCCGCAGAAGTGTGAAATTTAAGCAGCTGAACATTTGAAGTGATGCCGGTGGCGACGAAAACGTAACCACCAACGGAAGCGATTGCTGTGACCGGGTAGTTCAATCTGGCCACCCGTTCTCGAGCTCGTGTCCTTACCCTTTCGGTAGAGTTAACAACAAATACCCTGAAAACGAACAGAGAACAGATAACATGACTGAGAATTTTATTCACCCAAAATCACTTACTCTCCGTCGTCATTGCCTATCCATACACTTATCTGACCAGTCCCATTGTCATCGTCAGAATCGGAAGAGTCTCCACTGCTACAATGAGGTCACATTTTTCTGCTTGTACATAATATCAAACTACGCTCTTCTTACCTATTCTTGTCGAAAATGGTTTCTGCTCTGGTTAAGTGTTCGAACGATTTCTGTGACCTCACTTTCCGTTTTCGTTTCCTAGAAAGTCACAATTCAAGGTGAGCAAGCTATGAGAAAACAAAGTTTGTTACCTAGGTGGCGGTGGCACCGTACATGCGGCTGTTACAGCAGCATTTCCGATTCCAGCACAACTTTCAACGCATGGTTCGCCATTGTCAAGGGAAACTACGGCCACCTAAAATGCCCCAAATTTTTGAGTCTAGAATTATTCTTTTTGAGCTTGATTCAAGATTACTATGATTTTGAGTTTGCAAAAATGAGATATAATACATTGTTTCTTTTCCACGGGAAAGAGTGGAATGGGCGCGGATTGAAGGCTGATGTCAACCGGCCATTCCCGCACGGTAATGATCGGGGTTACTCGGCTATTGCTCCACTCATATAAATCCACCGATTATTGCTCGACTGGCAAATTCCGTCCAATTCTCGAGAACCAAATCAAAAAAGGGCCTTCATTCCTTTCAATGCAAGCTTTAAAGCGCAGAATCGGAATTCAGCACATCCAAAAGTTCAGCAAAAAACTTTTTATCAACCCTTCAAACTCGAATAAAATCCCTAAATCACCTAAATACTTCGAAAAAATGGTGATCACCGCAGAATTAAAATTAATTGATTATTCTATTGAAGTTAATTTAGCAATTCTGACACTTGACCCACCTGCCCACTGAACTTATCGCTTGCACAGAGCCACACATATGGAGATGAATCAGGTCTCTTGCCGGGAACAACGGTTGCAGCGCAAAGCTAAAAAGTTCTTTTCGTAAGTATACTTTGATAAAGCAAAGGATGTCCAGTTGCGGTCCCAACCTGTAAACCTGGCCGAGTTTGATGAGCAACAACAGATTTCAGCTGAGGAGGCGGTGCAGACATTTGTTGATTGACTAAAAACATACATTACTGTATTGACATATTATAGTAACTTGTTCCTTTCCATAAATAAAAAATTCATTCAAAGATCTATGACTCACTCGACGCTGTCTTAACTTCGCGGAATGCGGTTTCCCAAGCGGCACGCTTCTCAGCATTTTGAAACTCCAACGGAACTGTTTCGATTCCATTTCTGAAAACTTATAGTGGCAAAGATTACTCAACGAACAGAAAAGGAAACCTCTTGTAACAGCTATCTAAATTGTGAAAACAACACAGAAGCCCCCAGCAGGGAAAAATAGGAATTAACGGCAAGAATAGATTATTTTATTTTACAGACAGTCCTTCTAAAAACTAATCAAGCAGTGGTAATTGCAAACCCTTTTTGAAAGCTGAGGAGGTAGGGGTGGGGGGGGGGCTGGATAAAGTTTTTACTAGATGAAGGGAGTAAAGGTAACCAACTCTCCCGAAGGAGATTTCGAAGCTTCTGCAGTGTTTCGCAAAAGCTTTGACCTCGGCATTCTCGGGAAAAAGCGTCAATTTGCTTTTTTTTTTCAAATACAAAAAGTAGTTCGATTTACAGCAAACCACATGCACAATTTCATAGTCTCTGCACAACATCAAAAATTTCGCAGCCTCTTCTTGAGAAAAGGGTGCCTCCGGCTCCTGCCCCATCCTACTCTCCTTTCCTTGCCCCCCCCTCCCCTTCCCCTTAAAGGCAGTGTCCAGGCAAATCTGGTCGCATGACTCTTTCGCCTGGAAGTTGATGAGGGGGTCCTAACCAAGCACTGCCCAAGGGGCAGCGCAAATTGTTCAATTACGGCTGAGAAATCCGTCCTCGAAAACCCCGCGCCTGCGCCGTGACCGTAACCCAATAACGACTTCGCTCACTTTGACCTAAGTTTGCAATGACCAGTCCTAAGTGTTACGGTCACGGCGCAGCAGCGGAGTGTTTGTGGATGGATTTCTCAGCCGTGAATGAATCATTTGCGCTGCGGTTTGGGCAGTGTCTTAGCCTCCTCGACGGTTTCCTGGCAGAAAACCCATATACCCAGATTTGCTTGGACACTACCACTTTAATACCGCCATCTAATAGTTTTATGTTTCCACATTCTATTGCATTGCTAGTTAGTCGGTCACACTATTATAAATTAGCATATGGTAATTACAGTACTTACACAGTAGCCACGGATAAGTACACGGTAGTCAAATCCGGATTCGATGTCAGTTGTTCATTTAACGATCGTAGGCGAAGTGTGTTGTCGATGTCCATCTCATCTAACACTTCCATTAGCCTCTAAATGAGCACAGCATTTTTTGCAGAGTGATTTTATTTCGGCTCGTTTGCGATTACCGCGCTGATTACCTGACCATTAAAAAGCATTAATTTACTGTTCTTATAGAGCGTTATTGCTAGCAATCTAAAAGTTGCAAATTGGCAATATCTCACCTCTTTACTGCCCTTGATGAGATTTGCCAGCTCAATGACCTTACGAATGACTTTTTCGTCTTCTCTGACAACGTCAATCGTCTGCTCCGTTTCTTGCAGCATTTTCAACGTATCTAAATTGATAATTAGTCATGTTTTTTGTGAAGAAGGAATTAGATTGAAGTAGCAAACCTTTAGCGATCTCCACATCATCCAGAGAGATTTTGATGATTAGCTTAAAGCGATTACTGTCCAGAAAGTCAGTTGACGGGGTGCTGAACAGTGCTTCATTAGTACCTAATACTTCGCTAACCAGCCCCATCCAGTCGTAACTTACATTATTTTCGAATTTTTTACTGAACTCTTCCTCCGGACGCTAGTGAGAATAAGCTGATCACTGAGAGTGAAAATACAGCGTTGACGCTTTTCATCGCCTCGACATCGCATCTGTACCATATCGTAGCGGACGAGATTTCGCCCAGTAGAAACGAGCTATAAATATAGAGTTCGTGGATAAAATCGTGTTTGAAGTACAGGTTTTTTGTCAAAAGCAATTACAACGGATTAGATAAAGATAATGAGAGCTATCACTGAGTTTAGTCTTCTATTCTGAGTGGCTTTCGCGTCTCAAAGGAGTATTTAGATGTCGTTTCCAAAAATAGAAAGAACTTTGTACAGGATAGGGAAGCCGCGAATCAATGCATACATTTATACAAAGTGTTTGATGCTTGAAGAACATGCCTTCAACACAGCGCAGAAAATCAATATATCGATTAGGAGCTGCTTTTTCAATTCAGCTGTAGCTGAATGCAATTTTGACATGATCAAAAAAACAACCCATAAGATTAAAAATTGATAATGTTTCAGTTGGAAAGGGGTTATGTCAGCATCGAATTATACTTTTCAAGTCTCTGTTGTATCTTCAGGTCATTTTATCCAGAACTAATGTTCTTCAAATAATTAGAATGGCCAAAATTTGATGGGTGATTAGTTTTTGAGACTGATCGGACTAAATATCCATTTATATAATACACTTACGTCATCAAGTCCATCCACAATCGCTTCAATTTCTCTGAGGCGCTGTTCCATTTGCTCGTTTGCCTCCTTATGTTGATTTATGGCCACCTACAAAGTAGAAACTGTCTGGTAGAGATGAAAGTTAACTAAATGAAATACCGCTAGATTATGGATGTGATGTTGTGTCCTTAACAGCATCTCATGATCAGGATGTTCGGTAGGAGTGTGCTTGAGTAGTTGTTTTACAAGTAATTCATACCTGAAGTATGCCGATAAACTTGAAATCATGGGATTGGCAAGCCATGTCACTTACCTAGGTACCCGCTGAATAGGTGAGATCAGCAATGAGTCAAGATCTTGCTTATTTCGATGATCGCGGCAGCATCTCTGGAAATGGCGATCATAATTACGAGTCTAACGAATGGGAAGACTGTGAAATGGGTAGATAAGGGAGAATTCAATGGTTGTAAGACCAAACCCCGTTTAATATCAGCGGTTTTGTTTCTTTTTTCAAGAAAAGGGTTATTGTCCATTTTTAATAGGTTGAAATTGAGTCTTACGTAACTAATTCATAAGTTCCTTCAGATTCAATAAATCTTTTGATACACATCAACGAAAAGACATCTACTAGTTTATAATTTTCGAGGCACATTATGGTCATGATGTCATTGCAATAAAAGCTGGAAACGATTAAAACTGTACTTTCCTGAGTTTCGGTCGCCAAAATTACTAAAAAATGCAACAACTTCAAATTTATTTTTGGTTCACTAAAGTTCCTTGCTAATCGGGTTTGTGTGCAAAAAATCGCTGTTGTCTTAATTAATTCGATTTTTACTCCCAATAAAATTTTGAATAGTACATTTACTATATACGTGGATGGAATATTTCTGTACAAGTCAGAGCGTATCCCTACCATGTCAAATGAAATATTTTTAATTTTTGGGCAAGACTTATGTTATGTTTCAACTCGATAATTTACACTGCAGTAAGTTGCAAATGTCACACAATCGTTCCGCAGTTTCGAGATAAGAATAATTTAAAATTAGTTCAAAATGAACTCACATTGTAATATTTCTCAAATGATGGCTTTCCACGTGCTTGAGTGATGGCGGCTTTAGCATATTTGAAATTGTCCACAAATGAAATATAGGTTTCTATCATCGATTGCTTAGCGAACTGAAACAACAAATCTATAGAAATATTAGAAAAATTTGAGATTTGCATTATACGTTGTGGTGTATTCGAGATTTTTTTTTGATGTAAAAATATCGTGTCATTGCGGACATTTCTGTTTGTGAATTTTCTGGAAAAATCACAAAACTTACATGAGCTAGTAAAACATCACCAATATTCCTATCTTTGTCCCAATCTTCGATTCTTGAACTCAAAGCAGCTAGAAGAACCTAAGAACATTGAAGATTTCTAGACTTAATTATGAATCAGTCGATTATTGATTACCTGGTGATGTGCCAAGACTTCCGGTACTTTATAAAAAATTTTGTCAGCCAATCCTGGCTCTATCAAAGTGCATTCGAGGGGTTGTCGTAATGGTCGCATGTATTTCTGGAGCATTTATCGTTTAGTTCAACTTAGCTCGAAAAAGGTTTAGATTAATGGGGAGCGTGCTCACCGAAACCAGGAACTCCAATCCCTCAACAAACGATTTCTCGGTATCGTAAAGTTCTTGAGCAGCCAGATGTCGTACGCTGAAAACCCAAAAAAGTTTTGTTAATGAACCATAGTGGGCCCAATGATATTATTGGATCAAAAATTCAGTCCAATGTAAATCAAAAAATAAATCGATAAACTGATTTTTACCTGAAATGTTTCCTGAGGCTGGCTCTTGATCTCTTTTTCCATAAAAGTATGTCAGCTTGAAGTAACGAATCTTCTTTACGACATTCTTCTCCTGCCGATTCTGAGTAGCCATAAGAGCGCCTAAAGAGTTTGAATCTCAAATCTCTTAAAAAAACTTTCGCCTTACACTTTCGTTGTCAATTTAATTCAAATCTTCGCCCACCAAGATAATTGCGGCTCCGGCGAACTTTGCCCCGAACGAAAACTTCGCAAAAGTTTCGAGAAACGGCTGACACCAGCAAGGCTGTCCGAGTTTTCATGGTTCAACGACGATGAAAACAAATCCTCAACAACGCCTGGACGCCTGAAAATCAATATCATTCACCTCGAAAATAGTTATAATCTAATCTTATATGAAAGCCGACGAGCAACGCGCAGAGGAGCGCGGTGCGCCAGCGGACATGCACCTTTCGCCCTCCAGCGATGACGTGCGCAGTCCGTCGCGTTCGCGCTCACTTCGCAGACACAAACCATATGTCTTCGTCTAGGAAAAGAGCGGCGCACTTTTTAGCCGCGTCTAGAGTTGCATTGTGCCAGCGCCGTTCTGGAATTCACGAGCCCCATATCGATCGACGTTCCAGCACGGCGCTAGCATGGTGCTGGCATGGGAACTCTGAACGCAACCTTGACACAGGAAAGAATACATTCACTACAAGTTTTCCTCATGTACTTGTACCGATCAGTGCAGTTGAAAGGTTAATTGGTCCTCATTAATTATACCTCTGCTAGTATACATCGGTATTTTTGTGTATGCAACTTCCTCAAAGTGCCCACATTCATGCTCAAATAAACCATCTTACGAAAACTTAAAGGCAGCGTACACCCAAAATTTGAGTTACCGAATTTCCTAGATCTTTCTACACCGTGTATATACTGGGCCCAGAAGAAGACCAACTGCGTTGGTCCGGTCTCCCAATGTTGCTTCTGAGCGGAGAAAACCCCCCTCAATTTTCTTTCACGCCGCCCCTTTTCTTTCGCTCCGCCTCCTCCGGACGAATCCATAACAGCGTAAGCTGCAATTGCAGTTGCAGTTGCTGTTGCAACATCTGTTGCATTTGTTTTGGGTGTACGCTGCCTTTAAGGTGTCTGGAAAAGAAATAAGCTAGCGTTCCATAATATGCCACATTTTCAAGTTTTTTGCAAAATTCTCGTACCAATTTTCAAAAATGAAAAGATATTATAAGAATTATAGCAATTATTTAGTGGACTAAGTCAAGTCATCCTGTAGAGAGAAAGTGCAAAAATATACAAAACACGTTACGGTAAGCTGTTCATCTAGGGGTCCATCAAACGCAATTCAACAAATCAGAAAACTTTGCCATTCACTGTTCTTTAATAAAACGCAGTCTCAGTGTTTCAAAAATAAATTTTCGAGGGTAAACGTCACTGCAAGTGTAACGACTAATCTATTGTCTCTGCGGTAGCAAAATTGGCTCGAGAACAAATACTTATGATACCAATAACTTGCTCGCGACCTCTACGTAGAAGTTTCAGCAATACCTACATTTCCATTATTAACACGCAGATCTTGTCGGCAACCAAGAACATTAAAACGTTTACATCTAATGAACCTTTATCATGCAAACTTTCCAGATTAGGATCGCTAAGGCATGCTCTTCTATTCAACAAAAGAGGCGCTCGCTAGACACTAGTTCATCACCTAGAGGAAGTTCCAACCTGAGTGTCACAGTCGGCGCGGCCGCCTCGCTTGAGACCCTTGACGCGTTCGCAATCCTGTCTCGGGTGATTTTCCCAAGCTCGTCAAACGTTAATGCCTAAGGTTACGGTATTCCTCGCAGCGAGCGACCTAAGCGAGGCGGCTCGCGAGGACTCCAGCCGCGCCAAGTGACACTCAGAATGGAATCCCCCCTGTAGCCACTACTAGATGTCACTACTGAACTATAGATTCTATCGGCATGCTCTAGATCACCTTTGGAAAGATGAGGGAGGTGCGTGCTCGCTTGTTTTCCGCTTTGGACGCCCACTTATGGTTACTGCTCTAAAGAAACGATAGGTAACTACTCATCAGCAGAAAACGTAGTACTATAGTCCATAGCGTTTCCTATGACAAGCCAACCTAATACACTAAATAAGTATGTTATACCTTGCTCGTGGACCCATTGCTTGTTCTGGTCCGGAGAGCACGTCGGTCAACGACATAAAGGCATCCGGAGCCGAAGTTTTTCTCGTCAAAGAGGCTTTTCTATAAGTGTCTGCAGGTGCGATGAAGACTTCATTCCTGAAAATGAAACGATAATCCTTTTCTTTCTGAAATTTGCTTTCAAATAAACTGGAAAAGGTGACGGAATTCGAGGCTCTAATTTTTTTTCGAGGCTTTGAGACGCAATTGATCTTCGTAATCAATTATGCAAAAATGAATTCCTCAGGCTAACCACACCGTCTCATGTCCCTTTCTCTCCTTTCCACCTCTCCCCCCCCCCTTCCTTACAATATTACGCCGATTCTAGTGTACAGTACGCCTGAATCGCCAATTCAGCAGTCTGAATGTGATTTTATAAAATGTCATTTTTGTCCTAAGAAAAGTAAAAAGTAGAAAAGTACGTCGCGACGGAAAAACCTGCCTCCATGCGCCTTCTGTCAAGGCTTGGGAGCGGTGCATACGTTGAGTTAGTAGTTTTATTATGAATAATAAAAAGTCTACAGTGATAAATTCTTGCAAAAATAAAGAAGGAATTTAGGGAAGAAGAAGAGTTGCTCTGGATCATGTCCCTACATCACTCAAAAATTGCGTCACCAGAATCCAAGTTTTTAGTTTGAGTTATTTTTTCCCGAACATTATTGCCAAGGTCGCTTGTGCTTACAGCAGAAATTTGCAGTTTCTAACCTAATTTGGAATAGAAATCATCATACCCCATAGATGGTAGAAATTGCATGACTCCTCTTGGGTGCCCTAACCGAGTTGAAATGCCGGAAACCCGTCCATCGACGCTTGAATCAGCAGCTAGAGAAGACTCGTCCGCGTCGGAAAAGACTAAAATCATGTAATCGTAGATCGTAGGGTAAAATCCCAGAATGTGTACGGTAACTCATCGTAGGACCAAATTTGTGCGATTACACGCACCTCATTGCGTGCAAGTAAGTTTGATGGGCAGCACAGTGCGTGGTGCGCTTTTTTTCGCTCTTGTTTTTGAGATGTAACAAAAGCGACATTTTTTTGAAAGCTGAGAAATGTATGTGAAATGGTCAACAAAATCCATAACTGAACGCGCAATACAGAAATGTCTGCGGTTGCACATAATAGATCATGAGATACCATTTCAGTATCAAGCTTACCCCCTCTGTCTGAAGAATGTTGTGGCATCTTCAGTACTCGCTGCAGTGACTGGATAGATTTTGCTGCTACTCGCAATTCTTCGATTTCGGTAGACATATCCTCTCCTCCGGAATCCGAGTCTTCCTAAGCGAAATTCTTATGATGTTTATATTATCAGCGACGGGCTTTTCAGGTACAATCAAACAAATTATCATATTATTCGACTAATTTGGTTGTACAACTAAGATTGTGAAAAATGATATCCAACTCCTTAGGCCCCGGGCAGACTTCACGCGATTTGATCGTCGCGACTGAATCGCGACGAGACAACTGTTACAACATCATTCCATGCTGATCAACTTGCATTCGGTTGTGATACTTTTACAGACCGAAATTTTTGAATGTGAAATGAGAATGAATGGAAAAGTCGGCGATTGAGTCGCGACGATCAAATCGCGTGAAGTCTGACCGGGGCCTTAGGCTACGGATATTATTAGGTTGTCAAGAAAATAATGTCCGTTTTTATTTGCTTGCTTTAACAAAGCAATCAGACTCGACCCATCAAAGGGTAAGGGGTACTGTTCGATAGAGCAGAGCAAGCTCTACAAGATGGCTTTCATGATTTTGCGCCAAGCTCGACCCATGGAAAGTTCGAACTCAAAATCTGAAAATATCCAAATGTCCAAAAAATTGAAAAAAATTAGATCTTTGTCCGTATGATTTCTACAGGCCTCCCACTCGCTCACATCAATACTGAATACTGTCGATATTTGATATCCATATGTGCGATTGCCGTATTTTTTCCTTGACTATAAACTGAGAGAACGAAAATTTCCCTGATTTTCTCAAAGCAATGCTGAGCCGTTTTTGCATATGTAGTTCTATACTACAATCCTAGGTAAGTATAACTGTAGATTTTCAGCCCATTCCAAGCGGTAGTTTTCGAAAAATAAAGAATTCGGATTTTTTCGTTTCAGTTTCAGTGCTAAAATCAACATTTCTCGAAAACTACCGCTTGGAATGGGCTGAAAATCTACAGTTATACTTACCTAGGCTTGTAGTATAGAACTACATATGCAAAAACAGCTCACAGGGGAATGGTCAGAAATCGAAGTGGCCAATCCATACAAGCTGCATACCATTAGATGCAGCATAAAACGCTGACTTTACATCTGTCTTTCGTATCTGCAGAGCGCTTTTGTGGGCAAAATTATGACCCGTTAAAGGCCATTATTTTGCTAAGAAATTATGTGTGTAAAGGGCAAACTCGGCTGTACAGAGCCATACCCGGCTCAGTGCAAGACCAAAACATGCAACTAGGTCACTTCATATGGTCAGTACCTAAAGGTGAGCGAAAAGGGCAATAAGTGCCTAATCTAACAATTTTTATGTACGATTTTTTCGCGCTAAAGCTGATCATAACTTCGCTTACAAAGGCGCTCTGCAGATACAGAAGACAGATTTGAAATCAGCATTTTATGCTGCATCGAATGGTATGCAGCATGTATGGATTGGCCACTTCGACTTCTGACCATCCCCTTGTCAGCATTGCTTTGAGAAAATCAGGGAAATTTTCGTTTTCTCAGTTTCTAGTCAAGGAAAAAATACGGCAATCGCACATATGGATATCAGATATCGATAGTATTGATGTGAGCGAGTGGGAGGTCCGTAGAAATTATTTGGACGAAGATCTGATTTTTTTTCATTTTTTTGGCATTTGGAAATCTTTAGATTTTGAGTTCGAACTCTCCGTGGATCGAGCGTAGCGCAAAGACATTAGTGCCATCTTGTAGAGCTTGCTTTGCTCTACCGAATAGTATGCCTTAGCCTTTGTTGGGTCGAGTCTGGTTGCTTTGTTAAAGCAAGCAAATAAAAACGGACATTATTTTCTTGACAACCTAATATTATGCTTCTTTATTAGCATTAAATCAGCTTATCATAATTTGTAAAAAACATAAGGCCATAAAACGGTTTCCGTGTTTCTCAAGCAAAATCTCATACCGAGATCTTCACTAGCTAATGCTCTAGCACCCTGTATGATTTGCTGGTCGAAGAAATCAACCCCAGCTTAGACCGTGTCCATACATGGGGGCATTAAATGGCCCGCTTAAGCAGATTACAGTCTAGTATGGGGTCAGCTGAATTTTTGCCTACGAATGAGCCATACGAGTTTCCGCGAGACAATGGCTTGAGTAATGCCTCGTCCAGTGCTCACTAAAGAATCTGGATACCCAAATTTGCCACACTACTGATCTCAATCGTTCACTGATGCGAGTATAACTATTTGCATCCGCTTTATGCTACCGTAACTCGCGTGGCCAACTGAAAGCACATAATCGATTTGTTTTCAGTTCGAAGAGAAAAAAACGCTCGGTAACAATAAATCCCAATCCATTTTCGTAGCGAGACCACTGTGTCATATTAGCGCAAAATGCGCACTCAGTAACATTTCGTGCAGTGAGACAAAAATTCTTTACTGAAATGGATATTTAGAAATTTTTGCTTTGTAAGAGTCCAACATTGAGTCATAATCTTTTAACAAAACAGTAGCATACTGTAACTGTGCAAAATTGCCACCTTTCTCAATCAAACAGAAGTAAGCATTAAAGACAGCGTCCACCCAAATGTTCGTCTTCCATGTTTTTATTGTTACTTTTCCATGGCGCCGATTTTAGATATGAGGTTCGAATTACCAGAAAGCTCCAAAATTGCCCCTTTCCGAAGCCCTATCTTGGCAGACGTGGACGAGTGCCTCGGCGCTAGTCACCTCGTATGCAACAGGAAAATTCGTCGTGTGCAACAGTGCCACATCGCAGATTATGCGTCTCGACGTTGCTTGTCATGTCAGAACACGTCACGGGGCAACCCGTGGATAGGTGGAATGCAAAAAAGGGGGCGGTGCGCAAAGAGGATACAGGTCCGTTATGCCTTCTGTAGGCACCATTACGGGACCGCCAACGTGGTTGGTCTACTTTTAGGGCTTGCTCGTGGGATAAGTAGTTATCTGGGGTGACTAGATTTTGGGATGCCTTTAAGCACAAATTACATTTATATTTGTTCTTGAAAAACCTCTCACCCATGTAAGAGCTCAGCGTTAGGTTCTCAAATACTTGACATAGTAATGGCATACTGTAGCGATGCGAAGGTACCCCTTTTTAATTGGATTGCTTGGGTGATTCTGACATAGAAACTTTTGAGAATTTTACCATGTAAGGCCTTTTTAGTTTCGATTGTAAGCAGAATCTACTCTCAATTTTATATGAAAATTTTACGCTAGATCACCAGGGCCTCACATAATTCTGACGTCTTGAGTCTTGTCACTCACCACAAATCACAGGTACTTCCTCATGTGATTCGCACTTATTTTTCATGAGTGTGTTCTAGAAACTTTCAAAACACGTTGTTTCTTCTACGCTCAGTTAATGACGTAAACGAAGGGAGTCATCTGGTTTGACGACGAACATTGGAATTCGCGTCTGCAGCGGCACGCGTCTAACAATAGCCGAGAAGCCCAAGGGTATGATAACAACATTCGAGTAAAACAGCCAGCTGTTACTCAATGAACACAGTGTTTCTTGCATTCGTGGTATTCACATTAATGTGCTCGATAAACTTTGTGGGTGGTAGAACAGAATTCGATGTTTGATAGACAACCGCAATGTTTTTTCATACTCTAAAAAGTCCTTGCAATGGTGATTCATTGCCCTTGTTTTGACTCGAAAGCAAGTTTTGTTTGCTGTTCAATTTACTTATTTTATTTATTTTATGTTCCGCCATGATAATGATTAAATCTTTTGAAGATCATGATTTGAATAAATCCGTGAATCCAGACTACAGACATTTACAACTCGTAAATAAATTCTTTTTCATATTGCTATACTTCAAAAAAGGTGTGACTTACCAGGTACAATATTTGAAATTGCACACATTGTACCTGATAAGTCACACCTTTTTTGAAGTATAGCAACATGAAAAGAACTTTTTACCTTTTTCTTCATAATAAAAAGGCTCATAAAGGTTCGTTAATTTGATGAGAACAATGTAACCAATGCTTATTTTTGCTGCTCATAGTGCCAGCAGAAACATTCAGCAATTTTGATTTTTCGCCACATTTTTGTTTTTTCCCCTTTCTTCTCGGGGTAGAATTACGCAAAAAAACATACAGTGATCGTAATAAATTGTCCTTACATTCTCAATTTGAAAATGGCTAATTTTCGAGGTAATTAAGCTTGAATTTAGAAAAAATATGAAAATATCATTGAAGCGCTACGCTGGCCAGTGAAAGGTGCAATGTGTGCGTTGTGCAATTGCACACTTCCAGAAACAAATAGTTAGACTGTGCGATTTAGGAATATCTTGACGAGCTTATAACAATCTCTGGATAAGAAGATGGGCCGCTGGTTACTTCAAACTATATTATTGCAAAAAAAACATTGGCAGTAATGTCCCCATTATCAAATAATGGTCGTCTTGGATAATTGGCTCAGAAGAAATATTAATTTTCTCAGTCTTGAAGCACTTACCGGCTGCGACATAGTGATCCTAGGTATGGAATTGAGTAGCTTACTAAGAGCGATGATGTCGATCTGCAAAATTAAAATCAGCACAGACGAAATGTTTGATCAGCACTTTTTCTGTCGTTGATGCGCAAGCTTTTTTGGGTGCATCCGATCCCAGGCACGAAAAAATGTAATGATGCAAGCCAAGAGTGTATTCTTGGAGAGGATGCAGTTTCAAAGCAAATCAATGGATATCAAAGTACAGTAAAAGCATAAATTTTGTAAAATTTCACAAGAAATGCAAAATACTTGTTCTTCTTATCCTTAGTCAATTCGTGTTTCTAGATGCCATGTTAAAAATTTGCTTCTAACAAGAACGAAAATTAACGTACAACTCCAGCTCCTTCTACATTTGGTTCGCTGCTTGTTTTGCGTAATCGACGTCGGACAGAACTGTTTTCACGGCTAATTCTAGCCATACTGTTTCTTCGACGATTCTTTCGTTCAGTGTCGAGATTGAAATCGGAGCGTCTTCTAAAGAAACATGAATGATAGACGTAGCGAGAACTAGCCCTCAGGTGTCTTAAATATCCTCATCATACGGTAAAGTTAAGGTGAATATCCTGTGAATGTCCTTTACGGGGTGAACAACACGTATCTTTGAGAAAAAAGTCATTTGGGATCGTGTTAGTTACCGATCACGGAGAAAACATCCAGTTTGTAATAGTGGGATTACGGTGATAGTACGGTAAGCGTGGCGAGAACTGGTCCTCATTTGTCTTAGTTCTTAGAGTCGTAGGGTAAGGTTACGGTAGCGGTCCCCATTGTTTTAGTTCTTGGATTCATACGGAAAGCTTAGGTCAATTAATTAGTCAATTACTGGCCGACATCCAATTTTCGTGAGAAGCTGATATTTGGGGAATACCCAAATTATTCCTTCTCACAATTATACTACGGTAGCAGTACGGTAGGATGCACCAATCAAGATAATGATTCAAAGAGTCATTTGTAATTTATTAGGTTGGAAACTAAGTTTTGCAACTGGTCTCATAACTTCCCTCTCATTCAACATGGCGCACTCAAATTTTGCCACTGCGTTGGTTATCACGTAAGCCACAAGCGCAGCTGCTGTCCTACCAAATTCTTACGTCGCAGTGAGGGTTACGGTAGGTGCATGGTATGAAGGGGGAGAATTCAAAGTTTGACGGATTTGGCTGAAACTTGGCATAGGGGTGCTATCCAACATTTTGATCACGAAAACGATGGTGAAATCGCGTGATAAGGGCTTTTTTTGTAGGATTGCTGTAGGTGTACGATATGGGGTCTCACCCTAAACAAGGAAAAAGGCGTTGATTCAACAAATGAATGTGATATTCGCGTTTGGCAGGTCAAATAACCTTACTATGTAAAGTCTCGGCGGAATTTGAGCTTCGGCCTTTTTAGTCACTGACGGTCGCCCCCCGCAGCTCTTGCGTACATCGACTCGTTCGACTTTATGAGGACGCCAAATCTCGACATGCCCCTAAATTTTGTTTCTTTCTTACTAGGCCAAAGGAAAGGAGTCAACCTCCAGCAATAATTTATAGACGAATCCGGATTACTGCGCATGGTCTAGGCTGCCAAAGGCTTAATTTTAATCTGAAACCCCAGAAATTCACAAATTTCACTAGTTTTCGAGAAAAGCCTGAAACTTTTCTATTTCGTGTTCAAAATGTAGACGGTTTGTGCTCATTTGTAGCTCACATTGCTTTCTACATAATGCCAAAGTTTGAGTGCGCCATATCCAAAGAGAGCGGAGTTATGAAACCAGTTGCAAAACTTAGTTTCCAGCCTAATAGTTCTATTCGCAGGACCTCAAAGTCATGGCACACTGCTTTCATTCAACACAACAAAACCAGCTGCTTCTATGGACAAGTGAGTACGCTGATAAGACTTGTCACAATAGGGACCAGTCCTCGCTTTTTATCAGTCGTTAGTAGAAAGGATTTTAAGGTGAAAAATCGGTGAAAAAAAAGACGGAATCCTACCTTGGATGCTCTCTAAGCATATTGGTCCTACTAGGAGATACCGTAGATGATCTCCTCGGCAATTTCACAGGTGATTCGGTAGAAGTGTCCGACGAGTCCGAATCGTCAGCATCGTTAGGATTGAGAAGTCTTGTCGACATCTGTGAAAGGAACTCGGTCAGCTGTTTGACTGCCATTGCCACAAAACCGCAACGGCGGAAGAAAGGCGAACAAGTGGCGGGAATTGTCAGATCTGTAGCGAACTGACAGACATTTGTCAAATGCAAGCCGACAGGATCGGCTGCAATCAGCGCACGGCAACTACTGCAGTTATACAAGTGATCAGCAGCTGTGTAACATATGTAATGCGAATAAATCTGCCATCAGCCTACATATGCAGAGGAAAAACAATGCATGAGAGGATGAAGTGCCTTGTGACAGCGCTCATGCAATCCCGGATAAAGTTCATAGAATCAGCTGACGGGGGAGGAGGAGGAGAAGCGAGAGTAGGAGGACGGGAAAAAAATGGTAGAAGCAGTTGCAAACTAGTGACGCAATTAGTTCAGTACTTTGTAAATAAGTTTTTCTCGCTGTAATGCTTCCTCGATTATTGGGCCGACGCATAAGTTCTCTTATACTTCTTCCTTTTGACCACAAAAAATTCTAAGCTTTCTGAAAGCCTCAGATTTACTGCATACCTATTAGACATAGGGGTGGTTAGGATCTATCCATTGGTACAATCGATACCGCAAATGCACAGAAAGCTAGCAAGCTAATGTTTTATGAACACACTTAGATTTTCTTTTCTTCTATGTTTTTCTCGCTTCTCTCAATGTTCTTTTCTATGATTTTTTTTGAGATTGCATTCCGCTACTATCTCTCCTACGGCGAACCGCTACCTTGACCTGTACAACTTTTTCAAAGAATTTTTTGAAAAAGTTGTACAGGTCAAGGTAGCGGTAAAATGAAAGCGAGGACAGTGATTATCTACTAATCTGGTATAAGATTTCCTTTTTCTCTCTTTCTCACCATTTACAAATTAACGCGAATTATTCTGAGAAACACAGCTGCTTTGATCAATAGGAATCCAAAACAAGATCCCATCAGTCAAGGGGATTCCACAAACAAGCAGTAACATGCGGAAAGATGCCGTCTTGTTCTAGATCCCATGACAAATGGCTAGCAAGAACTGAAACATTCGGTTAGATTTATAACTGCTAACAAGTGGATTCAGTCTCAGGCCACACTTTCTCAAAGCTTTTAAATTCAATTCAGGATTAACTCAAGATTAGTGTGAACCTACATGATCCTTCATTTCAATCACGTCGACAGTACTCAGATCTTCCAATTTGTACATACTCAGACAATCGACCGGACCCCTCCGCCGGACAGTCCGAATCTGCCAGAGTCGCGCCGGACCCAGTTGACCAATGAGAGAGGGGCAAATGGGCGGTCCGTCGCGGTGACATCACTGGCAGGCAAGTGGGAGGCTTCTCCGGCCCTGCTGCAAAGGTACGCCATTCCTCCGGCGCGACTCTGCCAGATTTGGCGGACTCGCGCCGGAGAAATTTGCCCGGCGCGAGTCCGCCAGATTTGGAAGAGCCGCGCCGGAGAAAATCGGAGGGGTCCGGAGCAGAAATGGGAGGCCTCCGGAGCAGAAAATGGGAGGTATCCGGAGCAGAAAATGGGGGGTCTCCGGAGCAGAAAATGGGAGGTATCCGGAGCAGAAAATGGGAGGTATCCGGAGCAGAAATGGGAGGGCTCCGGAGCAGAAATGGGAGGGCTCCGCCGGACAAATGGGAGACCCACCGCTGGGGAAACGCTGCGACCCTGCCATTTCTCCGGCGTCCTATCCGTTGCCTGAGTAAGTTGACCTTATTGTGAAGTTATGGTTGATGGAATAGTTTCAATATGCTTCTAGACATTGTTTACAAAATTCTCGATATCATCGCGATTCACTGTAGAGGCATGCATGTTTCTCATTTCAGAAGTAAGCAGACGATAACGTCTAGAGTTGCATGATAGTCATTCAAATCTAACAAAGACACAACCTGATTGAGGACCTGTAAGTAGATGTGATAATCGTATTACCGTGTGCAAATTTAGCAGTGAATTTGTAAGATGCATAAAAAGAAGATCGTATTGAGCGTTGAACATACAGAGGTAATTAAAAATGTAACTAAAGCGCCGCGCGTGCTTCACGCGATTTCAGTTGCCACGCGATTTGTTAATACTCCAACTGTCCATAATTGATCGTGGGCCCATTCCCAAGGTACTGAAGATCGATCTTATCATACGAAAATTATATACACTTTGCATTTGTAGTATGCCAGTGTTTGATCAGAAGACATTTGGCAAATTTCCAGATAGCTGGCGACCAAAATCGTGTGAAGTATGTCCGGGACCTAAAAGAAACGCAAAGCATATACAAGAAGCAATCAGTAGCTGGGCCATTAGTATAAATCCAATCTATTAACATGCAGCGTTTTAGAAAAGACTTTACACAATAGTCATGACAAGCGAAAAAAATTTTTACGGCATCACTTTGTGTGCATGCTCAAGGAATGGATTTGTGAAAGTTCTCAAACTATGCGATCAGTAGCTAATCTGCTTGCTGAGATAATGCGGTGGTTGAGATACGTTTTCGTCAGAAGTACATTGTTCTAGAAGCTCCTTGTCAGGCATGATGATGGATAGCGATGTATTGATAATAGATTGATTTTCCTCTCGATGAATCATCATCGACACTCAGTCAGTGGCAGTCAATAATTCACATTATGATGTCCACTTCAGTACAGTCCTGTCTAAACTATATCATTGCTTTCTATGGCTACATTTTGTGCTGGAGTCGTGAGATAACTTTTTGAAATTACATAACAACAGGTCTTTCACATCAAAAGTTAGTGCGAATGTCAGTTAAAAGAAAACCACTGCATTCAGTGAAACAAAATCAATTATGTAGCAGGGCTCGGCACAGCTGGCACCGGGTCAATCTGGATATCGTTTTTGGGACAAAAAGCAAAGGGGATATTGTTTTTGTGGCCGAAAAGACATACAAAGTGCGACGCTCTTTCGTTGACGTTTCGTTGTTTGGAGGTTTTTTTATGTTTAGGGTTAGAGCCAAAGAGGACTTCGTACGAAATTTTCAAGCTAAAGGGGACTTTGTGTGGAACTTCCCCGCTAGCTCGTGCCGAGCCCTATCATATACATAGTGATATAATCGATGTGGAAATGCAAAACTTTCTATAGGGCAATGTACTGCACGAAATGGATAATTAGTAGTTTCAATACTGGGTTCTCACAATTAGTATGACTGAGTACGTAATAGTTATACATGGCTTTTTCAAAAAACCTTAACTCGCTGAACGACTATTCGAGATTGCAATGACGCGAAATATGTTTCAAAATACAGAAGTCTTCATTTTCCTTGTCTTGTTCAGTGATAGAAGCATATGAGATTCTTTGTTGGAAAAAAAGTGTCATGTCAAAGTCATTTTAAAGTCATCAGGTGAGAATGGATGAATACAAACTCTTTCCTCTTTGAAAAAAAAACCACAGAAATCGTTGCTTCAGCTACGCAACACGGTGAACCAGCTGAAGATGAGACATGAAGTTACTTTGGCTTTGGTTATCACTTTCAAATTTGCTTTCCAACTTGCAGAAAAACAAAAAAGAAATTTTTTCTCCGCTTACACTTTGGTTGGCATTGTTATGGGATGCCCCTGAGCACTGATCAGGGATCAGCGCTCGAGGCAGGCTTTGATGCCGTTCGATTCAAAAAAGTAAAATTGTCTTGAACTAAGAGAAGAGTCGAGAGCAGAACACACAGGATATAGTTGAGAGAAATACTATATCTTCGAAAGTGAAATGTACAGAACGAGAGCACAGAAGTTACAGGAGTGTCGAGGCACTCTGTGTACTTGGACATCATATTTGGTAGTGATTGAGGGATCTTAACTAAGCCATTGCTCAAGATGATGATCCTACTATAATAAGGCGCTAAGAGTGTTTACGTGTTTTTGTGTGTCTGTCTGTCTGAATGTCTGTCTGTCACGAAATTCGTAGAGCGTGTTCCAGCCAACGTCCTGAGCTCAATTTTGCACAGCACTTGCTACTGGCATGAAAGTCAAATATGCAAAAGCACAAGCAGATTCCTTGAGTGGGTCTCTTAGAAATTGCGCGTCAAACGGATCTACTTTACAGTTGGCCTATAAAATTGGGTCCGTACTTCCACTTTTTGCAGAGTGGTGGATGTTTATGGCAAGTAAATGTGCAAGCCATGAATTTAAGCCCAAAAAAGTGATCAAAAGCCCATTACACAAAAACGGTGCCAAAAAGTTTTGGTTGCGTAAATGGTTGATTTGTAAAGGTTTTACCAGAGCATTTATTTATTTATTTATTTATGTTTTACACTCAAGGTGTGCCAATATGAAAAAAACAAACAAACAAACAAACAAAAGCAAACGCTAACAATAACAAGCAACTCATACCAATTCAGAAGGGACAAGGATCAGTCCAAGGGAACTGATTAAACGCAGTATAGGAACATCCCAGGCAATAATTCTGCTTTAGATTAGCCAAGGTGCTGCTAGCAAATAGGCTTGCAGATCAAATAGTACTATCAACGTGAATTCCAATCTTGCTGCCTCTGAAAACTTCCACTTATAATTTGGGTGCCAACGAGCCTACAGGCGGAAGCTAGCTGGCAAAAACCAATCAAAAAAGGTTTTCAGAGGTCAGCAAGATATCTTCAAGCATATAAAGATATGCTTGGCGATGATAATCTCCGAACAGGGAATATACCCTTGTTTAGGAGAAAATGGGGATTACTAAAGTTCAATACTTGTGAGGTTGGGTGTTTGGAGGCTGCGATAAAGTTCTCTGGGAAATAGTATGAGCTGACCATCTGCTAGTAAATGCAAAGTGTATGGTTAGTAACAGTGCGGAAGTATTTCAAACAAGATGAACGATCCTCTTGAGCAGAAGCCGGTTCTTTAAGAGTAATAAATCACAAGTAATTGGCGCCGGAATTGTAGAAGCCACATTGAACTAAAAATCATCCATTTTTATTTCACGTAGTACATTAAGATCTTCTAATTTCCAACGAAATATGTGAGAGTTTTCACTACTGATTACTTCTGTAGGCAGTAAAGCGAGCCATCTAGTTGTACGACAAAAGAGAGAGTTAAAAACAGTTGCATTTGACGAGATTTTTGCACAAAAATGTAGCTCGCGGTGACTACTGTCCTTATGACGACTGTCAAACCATGACAAAATCGAAAACCTATGAAAATTTGCATTTGTTC